TGAAGACTACATGGTCTAGGAAGTGTACATTTTTTTATTGGGCAAGTTTCCAAGGGTGGGGTTTTCTAAGGGCGAGTTGACTGCCAAAGAGTTGCCAAAGTGCGAGCCAGCGTGTTATTTGATCACATGTGCGAGACATCGCAAGTGTGTGCCAGCGAGCCATGACATTACGACAATAGATACGAGACGTTACTCGAGTTGTGCAAGGTATCGTCTGAGATTTGTGGAGTACAATTCAAAAAACAACTATAGATCTATTAATAATGAATTATTGTGATAGATAGACAATGTTAGCTATCGAGGAGCGACGTTGTATTTCATTGGGACCTTCGTCCCTTCAAGGCTAGGCCTACACCATCCTAGCTAGTCTAGGCCTAGAGTAAGATAAGGCTAGCGTGACATGCGGACGTTGGTACATGTTGGTTAGTCTACAAACGTCGCCTAAAGTAATTGATTTTACCCAGCAGAACGAAAGAAGGAAACTCCGCTTTTCAGTCGTCTTAGGTCCTTGTTTTTTGACAAACAATGACCTTTAAGAGGTCAAATTGCTGTCAAGAATATGAATTGGCTGCTTCGCAGCAAAAATGTTCACCTTTGGTGTATCTAATAATAAAAGAAAAACATTTTTACTCGGAAGTTTAAACAGAAATAATTCAAGATTCAAGATTATTTTTTTGTCCAAAATATGGAAATTCTGTTTGGGTGTAACCATTTCAGTACATACAGATACAAAAATATATACAAACATTGAAACTATGACAAGAAAAGCAAAAAGTAACCAAATATTATATGGAAAAAGAGATATGACCAATGTATATACATTAAAGAAATATAAAGGAGACAATGAACCATTAACTATTAATTTAAGCAAATAAGCTAATCTAGTAGTTCTACAGTAGGACATTTTAAAGTATTGTACAACCTTTTATTAATTCAGTTTGCAAAGCTAGACCCAACTTCCTAATTAACATATTTATGATTTATAGAAATCCAAGCAAAATATTTTTCTATATCTAAATTTTGTAATTTATATTTTCTGTTGTATTTTAACATAATTTTTGGTGTAGTCTGGACCACAATGTAGTTTTTCATTTTAACGCATGCCAAAAAGAAAGGTAAAATTTATAATGCTGCTTTAAAGGGTTTAAGATCTCATGTTGTGCAAAAAATGTCCTCTTAATAATAATACAAGGATGTTGATACTGTACGTGTAGTCTCGTACATGCCTTTATGTACGTCTATTTGTCTGCATCAAACGGAAAACCAAATCAGTGTGTTAAAGGTCACTAATTAAAAGGAAAATATTAAAGAAATGGTCATAAAAAAGTAAACTGAACTGTATACCAGTGAGATGAGAAATAAATAATTTCACCTTTATTGTATTACTGTAGAAAGTATAGCTCTGTAGCGCTGTATCAAGCACCGTTTCTTCCCCCTGATTTGACTGTTATTTTAAGCATTTGCTCTTTGGCACGCTGAGAATAAGCCTCGTCAGTCTGTTTGTGCTTAGCCAATCAGTGAAGCTAGAAACACAGTTAATGCTATGTCTTTCTAGGGAGGGCACACAATGGATGGCATGCTAAATACATGCCATCCATTGCAGAGCTGAAAATGCATAGCAGTGTCCTGGTCGCATACAGCATGGGATAACTCAGATAGCTAGTTTTCTTTTGTACGTCTTTTTTTTGCGCTCCTCCCTAAGTTGATTTGTTAGTGGTCCAACAGAATCTGAGGTACGAAGCCAATCAAGGTCCTGCAATTGTGTCAATTTAAGGTCACAAGTTCATCTGCCCTTCAGGGACGGAATATGGGTACATAAGGCATTCATGATTATTGATATTGGTAAGTTGTTACGCTGTAGTACTGTATGTTGTTCACCTAGTAATAGTATAAGCTTGTATTTTAAAAATAATGAACAGGTAATTTCATGCTGATTTCAATAGTTATCGGTCATCTTTTACATAATGTTTTTAAAACTTTGGTCTCGGTTTTGGTTTTCTTTTTTGTAAATTTTATTGCTGATGTAATTAAGGGGTTAATGAAAACAGTTTCCAAAACCTGACCCCATAGGACTTGCAATAAATGGTTATTAAAATGCAGTCCTTTAATATACGAGCCTACTGTATACATTCCAGTTTCACCAATGTCAAGAACATTTCCTGCATTAAAACAAATAACCATATTAATCAGAAAATAAGATTATTGGCACAGAAATTAGTGAACAAGAGGATCACTTTTTTAATCAGGTTTGGCAAACCAATGATAAGAACCCCTTTGGACAAATTTTTAAAAATCATATTTCTCATCCTGTATTTTTTTGGAAGGGGGGGCGGAGGTGAGAAAGTGTGGGCGCATGCTTTTCATGACTTTTGTCATGAAACACCCAGATAATCCTATATAACTGTAAACATGCTCATGAGCATTAAAAACTGTGTCTGGGCTTGGCCTGGTGTAGCCTTTGATATCAAATTGTTTGTGTGTTTTTATGCGCATGTGTTATAGCCAGCCACATGAAAGAATGCTTAACCGCCTTGTTAAAAAAAACATTGATGGAAACTACAGTAGGAGAAATGTTCGTTTGACCTCACAAAAATAATGCCTGTCATAAGAAATTCACTAAGTTCAAGTAAGGGGTCATCCATAATTTTCAACATTCTAAAAAAAAAAAAATAAATAAAAAGAGTGCAAAAAAATGTGGATTTTTGTGATTTTGAGATCAACATTTTATCTACACTTTCAATCCCCTCTTCACACTCTAAAGCCTATGTTTGTATTCTTTTGAAAATATTGATAATTATGGATGACCCAAAGCTTGATATTTGTGTAACATCTTAATTTTATACACAGGCTTACAAAAATATGTATTATATATATTTTTTAACTAGTTTATAATTAATTTACAAACCTGGAAACAAAATTGCAAGTGATTCTTGTCATGAAAATCTACAGTACATGAATAATGAAACAAATTTTAAGATCAGAAAGTATTGCCTGTTGCCCATGAGCTGCGCAATATGATATACCGTCTGGAATATCTGGAAAACCCTTAAAAAATAGCCATTATATGTTGTAATTGATTTTTTGAAATGTTTTCCAGATTTTCTTCAGACACTGTCTGCTTTCAGACTAAAGAAACATACTGTAAAACCATTGATCATAATGTTAATAATGTAAACACATTAACAAATATATTTTAAAAGAAATGAAGTAGACATAAATGTATCATTTACATAGCATCTAGTTAACATACAGTCAAGCAAAGTTCCAAGATAATTTCTTGTATCATCAATATTTTCACAGTTAAGAACAAGTTTAAAACATAATTTCTTGTCCAAACTTTTAAAAAAAAGATATGACACCATTTTTTTTTTAAATGGCTGTCAGTTTTCCAAAGCTAGCCAATGCTGAGAGTGGTAGTAATGCCATCGTTATGTAATCTGATACAATCCCAGCAAAATGAACAACTCAATAGCATATTGGTATGAAAATTGGTTGTAAAATTTACTGATTTTGCTGAATTTTCTGACCAAAAAATGTGTGATCATTAAAATTTAAAGTGATAAAATAAATCAATGACTGCATTATTTTAACAAATGGCCATTGATTATTATTCTACCATATATTTTATAACTACCTTCCTGCTCTTATATCCATTTGTTCTGCCCTGTTATTATCTTTTAGAATTAGCATCATAAAAATCAGCGGTGTCATCTATTTCACAGTCTTCAGTGGATTTTATTTATTGTTATTCTTCCTGTCGCAAGTTATCATCTTCAATATGTCTAGACATTTAATTGTCCTCCATTCATGTGGCATTAGCAAGGCATTGTTCCTTCCTGAACACCACATATCATTGGGTATTATGTGATAATGTTCCCATGTGCTTGAACGCCGCGAAGATATAAGAAGGAAACGAGAGATTGCATTTACTGTATAGGCCTACCTGAGTAGATAATAAGACTCCACTCATAGGAAAAGTACCTGTTATTTCTTAAGTTAGCGGTATGTTTTGTAGAAGCTTAAAACTTTGCAAGTGAGTTCAATTATTGTAGCTTTTTCTGTTTAAATATAGGCCTTGTGCTGTGGTTCTTTGGCAGTAATACATACTATTATTTAAGTTATCACATTCCAGTAACAGGCAATATTTATACTTTTTTTATTTTCTCACATGTATTTTTATATTGGCTAGCAGATACTTTTTAGAGAAATATTCTTTAAGTCAGCAAACATTGTTTCAATCTGTGTTTCAATATAAATAATTTGATAACTTATTTTGTTCATTAAATTAGAGATTCAATATTTTATATTCTTGCTTACTTTTTTCTAGTTTTTAGTTTTAAAAATATCTAAAAATCTTAATTTTTATTTTCTATCATTTCCTTTTGTGAAGTCCATTACTTCCGTCCATTACCATTACTTGTAAAAGTGTTTTATTATTCATAAGAGCTAAAAGAAGAATTTTTCATAGTATGAATTAATATACAAAATCCACCAATCAAATGACAAGCATATATTTAGGTGTGTTATAATTATGAATATATGGTTACTAGTATTTGTATGTGCTATATGATTGTCATAATATTTTTATCATAAACATTTGCCAAATAATTATTTTGACTTTTGTCTTATACTCGGACCTGTTGATGGTAGCTCATTTGTGCTAATACACCATGCAGATCATCAAACAAACCATTCTCAAATAACCACATTAATGTGTTTACCATTTATTCACTTGCATACCATATTTGAGATATGATTAATGTTATAACTTTAATGTACTTTTAACTATGTTCAGTTAAGAATCGCTTAAGAGCAACAAGAATAATATCATTATTGATGTTTTGAAATCAATGTACCAATTGTTAAACGACTGAGATGACCTTTGACATTCAAGTCTCTTCATAATCTCGTGCTAGACTTGCAACTTGAGTATTAATCTTCATCAAACATCCTATTGTTAGTGGATTTTATCTTTCAAATTGGTTTGTTTTTTCTTGTAGATAAGCCAACAGTGGCTGAAGAAGAGCAACAGTTTGATTTTATCATTATCTGGATCATAGCACCGACTTGCTTAACACTTTTCTGCGTGGTGGCATGTTGCGTAGTCATGTTCAGTCGCAATAGACACCGACGTGATCATCACCACCAAGTTTATGTACCAGGACCCGTTGGAAGTCAAACACCGCCTATAGTAAGTGGCAATGTATTAACCTATTTAGGTTTTTAAATCTAGCATCGAGTATCACCTTTTTATGGATTGTTCATATTAAAAGATTATCTCAAAATCAGAGATGTGATCGGCTCACATAATGCTTTATGGTATAAAAATGCAGAACATAAATTATCAATGGTTATGGAAGCTACCCTATGAATAATGAATGCCTTATGTCTGGTCATTTTTTATTGATATTCATTATGGATCTTGCGTTGTTAAGCAGCGTATTTTTGTATTATGCACCAGGTTGATTGGTTAGGGTGTGTATTCTCAAATGGGCCCTTCTGTGACACCCTCCCTACCACAATCTGTCAACCTAACACATCCCTTACTGTCCTATGGATTTTTCCAATTTTTGAAATCGTCAAATGGCATTTTCAAAGCAAGAAAATAGAGGGAGGGAAGCTTTGCTGGTTAACTTCTAGGCTGTAATAGATTGCAGATTTCTTAGGATTTTGCAGGACGTGTTACTGCCCTGTTCTCATTCTATACTATGTTCAAATGAAGTAAAATTTATCTCTATGAATATACAGTCACCGCAAATTGGGTTCTGTGCGATCCCCACTACCCAAGTTGAATAAAACTAACTCTCACTACGTTGCTTACTGATTTTATCATTGCTTATTAATTACAGGTTGTTGGAATATGGAAGTATAACTGTAAACTCATATTTCATTATTTTTTACATTTTACAGAGGCCTTTATTGATATACCACGATACTTTTTCACAAGTAGGACAACAAGAACGACTACGTGAACAAGGAAAAATGCTACGTGGAACTAATTCATTAACTGAAAATTATCCTGCTTCCGTGAAATTACCGGACGGAGAAGGGAAAACTCCACAGCGAATTTTTCTAGACGTTTATTTAGAGAATGAACCAAGCAGCGTTCGCGCTGCACCAAATGTGGTTGTGGGCGGAATGCAAACAGATTTTTTACAATCTAGTCTCGAAAAGCAAAAAACTAGAGGGAGTCCATCCTTTCGCTCAAATGTGTCAGGTAGTAATGAGCACAGAACGCCGAGCCCACGATTAAAACATGGACCTTTATATATTGACAGTGTTACAAGGACTTCTCTTAACATATTGGACACGGAGGACTTGCCTCCATATAACAAGGCAACTGCAGGTCAAAGGTCACGTCCTGCAACAGCCAATGCAATACCAACCAAAGACGACATACAAAGCAGTGCAAAAGATAAAAGGTTGTCAGAGAAAAAAATTAAAGAAAAACAAAGAATTAAAGGAAAGGAAAATGATAAAAAGGAAAACAATAATTCTTAACAATTGGAAAGAAAGTTGTGGAGTAAAACATTTAAATGTAGGAAGTTTGGTTGATTTGTGACTGGTTCGTTGGTATTTTTCGAGATGCAGCATCAGCAAAATATACAATTCATCTTGCATGGACCAAAAAAGTGCTGTACAACTCCGAATAATCGGTCAGTAAATAATATAGATGGTGATAGTGCTACAATTGTGTAGCAGTTCCGAGCGACCTTGTATTCTGTACTCTTGGAAAATTTAATTCTGAAATGGATAGACGACCTATCATTGATGTATTTAGAGCCTATTTCACACTATCAAATTAACGAGAGACCTAGGTGAATATGAGAAAGTGGCGTATTATTAGCCACGGTAGATGATGAGGAAATTAATAGTGGGTATGCTGTAGCGTGTAGAGTGATAGCGGTAGCCTATCAATTAAAAACCATGTACTATTTTTAACAATTCTATTTTATTGCAAAATACAGGCAAGGTGGCTTGGCTCCATACTCTTGGAAGCATAGACATATCTTAAGGTCTGTTGTACTTGTTTTTATGGTTAAGCAGAGACCATAACCCTGCTGGATTTATTACAACCTCGCAGAATATGACACATGAAGATCAAGTGTATATTTAATGGCCTGCCATTAAGCGAGACTTATTTTATACCTTGTTTAGCAAACTTTATTTTGAAAGATGATGAAGAAGGCAGAAAAATAATAAAATAACATAAGATTTTGTTTTCTCATTTACCAAAATGCTTCTAGGTGGGTAAGAAAATAAAATAATGTTACATAAAAGAGGGCGCCTTTGCTTGAGATTCGATTTTGTAAAAAATGCAATGTTGCGATGTAAACATTTAGTAATCTGATTGATAAATACTTTATATTTAACTGTAAGGAAGAAATTGGGGCATTTCATAGCTGCGAACAAAAAAATTGTTTATTTTCTGGAATTTTCACAGCAGAAAGTGCAAAACAAGTAAAAAATTACATTTTATTTTTATTCGAAATCATTAATGACAGGTGGAGATTTAGCAAAACAAGGTATAAAAAGAAGTCTTGCTTGCTTTTTACACACTACATGCTTATATAAGCTTTGTGAATTTTCAAGTGTTTAAATCCATTGAAAATTGATAAAATATTGGATAAAAAGTAAAGGAATGCCATCAAAAAGTCTTTAAGAAATATTTATTTAAAAAATTTTGTCAAATGATTGTTGTATGAAATGCTACAGATGATTTTAACTAGTATCATTAGGGGGAAAAGTTGCATATTAAAAAACTTTGTTTGCAAAATGATGCAAAGTACAAGTGGCAATTTCACTGGCTATACTATGGATAGTTACTATTATTTGTCTTAACAGTCTATAATTTCCAAAAAGATGGATTATTCATTTGATAGACCGTACTGATACTTGTATAGGCCCACAAATATCTCAAGAGCTCAATAGTCCTTATGTGAACACATTTTACGGATTTAAATAACAAATCTGGGCTATTATTGCTATATTATTACTTTATTATTTACTTTAGCTTCTATCTGTAAAGCCTACTAAATCACGCAACATATAGCCTTATATTTCATATTTCATTAAATTTTATTATCTCGACCCTGCTACCACTAATGTTCTCATGATTTATTGCGTTATAACGGATAGGCTTAGACGAGGATCAGTACGGTACTTTTAAGCCGGGCACTTACTGCGCCACCGACAATCAGTAGACGGTGTCGCATCGTCTAGCGTTCATAGGGAGTGGAGTTGGATTCGTCGGCTGATAGTCGACAAAGCAGTGAACGCTCGGCTTTATATATACTTCAACTTCCACAGACGTTGCTATATTGCCATTTGCCATAAAACTAAAGCAATTTTGATAATAATATTGTGGACACTGATTTGGCCAACACAAGATATTGAATTATGGTGTGAAATGGGGTTTAGTAAAGCTAGTATAATTGATATTACGCTTTATGGAAATACAATTGATACAAATTCTGCTGGCTTAAGTCAAAAGCAGTACATTCAGCAATGCATCTACCCAGCATGCAATATCGCAATTACCCAGCATGCAACATATTTCATGTTTGATTTCGAGGAACACTTTGCGGGTCAAAGAGATAGGAAAATGTTGTGGTTTCCAGCAGTTGGGCATTGACAAATAACATGTTTGAAATATTCAACGACCAGTGTTATTTTATTGGGTTTTGTTTTTTAATAAAATTGAAAGTGTGGTATAACAAATTTTATCCTTTGAGAACTCTGTAATTTGCCAGGCTATACCAATTTTTCAGCCTATTTTATTATGCTAAAAGTAAGCAGCAAGTACATTTATTTTGTAGTGCAATGGTAGATCAGAATGTGAGGAGTCTCTGATCATATGTTTTAGTGACATAGCATAACAAAACAATAGAGGGAGTAAAACCTGACTAATGTGTGTGATTTTGGAGTACCTAGCATATTCAAAGCTGTTAATATTTTTAATTTTTTTCAGCAACATAAGGAGTATTCTATGAATTCCAACACTGTGTTGTGATGGTTTAAAATTATATAATGTTCAAGTATCTGGTTTGTCATATTTACCAAAGGTATATATATTTTTTTCTAATTTCTTTATCTTTTATTATATTTTTTTTTTTATTTATTCAAATTATTTGAAATGAAGGGTACAAATATTTAACCTTGAGCCAGAACAATTTATGTACTCAATAATTGTTTCAATACAACTCTCATTTGGGATGAAAAAAAGTAAGGGAATCATTTGTTACTTGATATAATGATAACAATCCAGTTTCTACATGTATAGTAATTTTTTTTTAGTGATGCTCCTCTTAACTGCAAACACATTTTGAAATCTGTTAACAAAAACGTAGTTGACTTAAATATCTATGTACTATACTATGCCATTCAAAATTGCATCCAATAAACAAACAGCTTTGAGCTGACAACTCTATTACTGTAGTAACGTTGCTTTTGTTTGTTGTACTCACCCCCTCTGCTTCTCAGTCATTCTTGCAAAAATTGTTTATAATTGTCAATAGGGAGCTTTCGATTCGATTTGTGCGCGCGACGACGCGACGCTAGAATGGAATCACTCATGCATGACCATCCTACCTGGCATCCTACGTTCTATGCATACATAGATTTGGCCAAATTGCGTTCCAGATTCTACTCAATGAGGTGACCTTAACGTTCTCACATGCGCAGATGACTTTTACTTACGTCATTACATTCTACATCCTACCGTCGTCGTGCAATCAAAAGCTCTCTATTAAAATTTACAGGCCTATTCTTGTTACTTAAATACACAATACAATATACACAACACAATAATCATATAAAAAACTGTGTGGCAGGATTTGAATCTGCAACCTCTCACTATCAAGGCAAGTATCATATCCATTAGAACACATAGACTTATGGGATATAGGGAAGGATCTAATCCCCAGGCAGTTTCCCTCATACAACTGACTGAAACACTCGCACATAAAGTGGAGCTATGGTTAAGCTAGAAAAGCTTGGAGGTTGCAGCTGGTAAATCATAGTAAATAATATTCAAATCAAGTTTGCTGCATAACACCGTAAACATAATATAAACAAATAGATACCTAAATTTACAACTGCAAAATAAAATGCGCATTTACACTCAAATTCCTTAAAAATGTCAGTTATAACTGCATCACCAAGGTGCATCATGTAAGGATTTGCCCGACGGGGGGTAGGGGGGAGTGGTGTCTCTTATACACATCTAGATGTGTATAAGAGACAGATTCCTTGCCAACACATTTGTCAAGTTTCAACAAATTCAAAATAACACCTAAGCTTTTCCGAAATGACCATTATTATTCCTATATTTAAAACCATAATTGGTTACCTATCCTCCTTCGGTTAGAAAACACCTAGTAATCAGATGATTGAGCTGCTTGTTTACAAGGCCTGTGTGGCAAGTTGCTGCTAAGTGTCTAAACGGTCCACTTTTGTGGAGAGCTTGCTTCTTTTTTGAAATTCAGCTTAATTCAATTACTTCATACGTATCAATTTATTTTTGTTCTTTTGAAGAAATTTACAAGCATCTCAATATGGATTGAAATTTGTAATTGAATTTTTAACAAAATTGTTTGACATAAAGCCGATTGATTGATTCATTCAATGGAAAAACCAACTGAACATTGGGGCAAAGGAAGCTAATTCACCATTCACCATATTATCGTCAATGATATATATGCAGTAATATATAACTGACAAGGTGTGGCGTACCTAGTGCATATTATTGTATTTTATCGTATATTTTCATAGTAATGCTTATCAACAGCTGAGTTCATTACTCTTAACATGACTCAGGAAACTTAGCTGGAAAACATGTGAAGGCTTACCCACAAAGAATTTTAATGTAAGGGTTTGTTAGGAATAATATGGAGTGATTGCTGATGCATTCCAGTGGTAAAGCTCAGGAGTTCGTTGGGAAGTAATAAATTTAAAAATCACTTCGATTTCATTAAACAATGAAATCATTTACTATGTTTTTATTAACCATGCCAATAAAAACCCTTAAAATATTAAGATCCCTACATAATAGTTGCTTTTAGCCTGACAATTGTTGCAAAGTCAATCCCTGTTGGGGTAATTTTTTTTTTAACAAAGCAAATGAAAAGAGCTGTAACTTGGTGCTTAACAGGTCTTCCAACCAACTGTCCTGGTTCCAAATCCTGCAATTTTATTTGCATGATACTTTGATACCGTTTAATGGTAAAATTCCGCACGGATAGCAAATTTGTTTGAAAATTGAATATTTTGAGGTTGAATGTTGAGGGACTATAAACTAAAAACTAATTTTTCCTTTAAAATAAGATATAGGTGTATAGGTGTAGGATTCGTAGGAGCCATAGAACACAAAACAACCGGAAAATAGAAGGGCCAAAAAATCGTGCAATTTCGAACAAAAAAACCATGAGCTATACCCTTTGCTTTGCATTTTTTTTTCAAAATTGGGTTATATTTAACATACCCTATTTTAAGCTGATTCGTCATTCCTAAGGTCTATAGATGCCACAGAACGCATTCGTAGCAAAGCCTTAGCCAGCTATTGGGACAGTTGGGAGAGTCCCACACAATTTTTCTATTGGGTCCACAAAGAATGGGTCCACATTTTAATATCGGGTCCAGATTTCTCATATTTTGTGTAAAATGGGTCAACTTTTAAGAAAATTGGTCCAGATTTCTCATATTTGCGTAAAATGGGTTCAGATTATTAATATATTTGCGTAAAATGGAACACCTTTTAAGAAAATGGGTCCACATTATTTGAATTTACGCGTAAAGTGGGTCCACCCTGATATTGTCCCACACTATTTAAAAATCCTGGATACGGCTTTGATTCGTAGGATCTGTAGTAGGTGCCAGAAAACAAAAAACAACTGGAAAATAGAAGGGTAAAAAATCGTCCAATTTCGACAAAAACCATGAGCCATTGCGTTTTTTTTTCCAAAATTGTGATATTTTTCACCTCCCTAATTTTTTCAGTGTGTGTAGGCCTATGTGCCATAGAACGAATTTGTGCCACAGAACTCAAAACAACCGAAAATAGATGGGTTAAAATGGACCAATTTCGACAAAAACCATGAGCTATAATATATACCCTTTACAGGTGCCACAGGACACAAAACCGGAAAATAGAAGAGTGACTGCAAAAAAAAATCGTCAAATTTTGACAAAAACCGTGAGCTATACCCTTTGCGTTTTTTCCCCCAACACTGGGATATTTTTGACCTACCAGTTTTTCTGGCGAGTCTCCAATCTTAGGGTGTATAAGTAAAACAGAACGCAAAACAACCGAAAGATAGAAGGGTCATAAATCGTCCAATTTCGACAAAAACCATGAGCTATATACCCTTTGCGCTTTTGTCACCTAGGATTATTCGTTTTTATGTTTTGCCGATTCTTGCATTATGGTACCCAAGGATCAGGAAAACATCGATTATGTTTCAGTTAAACTTGTTCAACATAATTTTATAGCATTAAATGTTATGACCAATAAAGCACGATCTAATTTCTAAAGGGCTAACTGGGCCACTTGGGCTTCGTTGGGAACTTGAACCTGATTGGAAGCAACTGATTTCACACTACTTTGAGCGGAACACCAGTTTTCAGTCACTGTGAATAATTAAAATATGTCAAAATAAAGAAAAGAACTACATAACAACTTGTAGAGACATACACCCAGCAGGGGGTGTATCCAGGATTTTTTTCTGGGTGGGTCGTTTTTGGACCTTTTCACAATGAAATAAGAGCAAGATGTGATTAAAATGTCAATACAATTTGCTTGAATTTAAAGCGGATGGCAGGCTCAGTAAGAATTGCTGGAATTAAGATAGATTACGTCACGCAATTGGCAAGGTCTTTGAACTCATTGCTGGTACCTCATCAATGCTTTTTCATTTATGTCATTGTGAAAAGACCCTAGAAAAAAATGTCTCAAATAAAATGCCTCCTTGAAAATTTGGAGTGGGGGAGGGGGTGGTCGTACGAACTTCCCGACCGACCCCCACCCCTTGCATAAACCCATGCCCAGAAAGTAATAATAGACCGATAGGTCTAAAATATATCAAAATAAAATACCAGACATATATAGATAAATATATAGATGATTGTTACTAAAAATTAGGCCTTGTAGTAAACCAACAAGTAATAATTTTATACGATGATGGTTATTATTAGTATAATGTTTTTGCATAAGCTGCTTTATAAAAGTATTGTTAATTACTATTATTATCAATAATAATGTTACATTATAACATTATTACATTATTTTATAACATAATTCCAAAATTTTCTCTAACATTTTAAATTATCATATATTATATTGTTTTTATAATTTTGCTACTTCTGATACTTGTTGTTTTAAATGGTATTATTTTAGTATTATGCTGGAGAATAACAATACTTTTGCATTGATCAGTTTACCCAGAAATAAATAAAAATTAAATAAACAAAAATTGAAAGATCAGTTAATTGAATAAAATGTTCATTATAAGATACCATTTTTGTGACATTGATCGATATTGCAGAAGACGTGCTAAGGGAATTGCAGGGAACCTTCATGAAACATGGTGGTTAGCTCATCGTAAACCTGAGCCTCTTCCTATGGACCCTCTGGAGATGTATCGTTCAGCCTTTTCGCCATTTCCCAGGATTCACGGAAACTCTCGTGGGACTTAACACGAGTCTAGAGTTTGCGGCAAGCCTGGTTCACAGTGGAGCGAAGGGTTTATATTGTGGTGAGAACAAATCTCATTGTGAAATCTGTATCCTTGTCATTATCCTCCCGTTTTGTATTCCTTGAAAACGTACACGGCGTGATCCACTTTCGTCTGTAAGATTCGATTCCCAAAACAGTTTTCACGTGTCAAGTCGCAGGAATATCAACATATCATGCGACTTCGCCTATAAATATGATGGAACGTGATGAGATAGGAAAATGCCTTGTTGACCTTTGTTTTTCCTTATAAATATGACTTTGCATTACAGTACTTGGTTTGATTTCTGTCTCTGACAGTATATATTGATCATTTAATTGCAAACTTGCTCCTATAGAAATACATAAAAAGTATAATTTAAAAAACACTCACTCTAGTAATAGTAGGCCTATGTGGTAGTGGTGCTACACATGGTGGTTAAGTTGTGCTACATGTGGTGGTGCTACATGTGATAGTGCTACATATGGTGGTGCCACAATGGTATTACATATGATAAATTATATTAGCATAGTATATTGCAAAGAAAACTTAATTCTGTATAGGCCATTAGAATTTAACGTTATCACAAAAAAACCTACCGCCCGTCGGCGAAGTCTTGGCGCCGCCACTGCTAAATACATTTGTGCTACTTGTGATAGCCACAGTTAGTGGTGCTAATTATGGTGCTACACTTGGTGGTTCTCATACTTCACTTTCCAACTTCAAGTACAGTGCAGTACAATAACAGAATTTAGGTCACCTTCTTGCAACATGTTTTGGATTTAGTAATGAGAGTAGTTAGTTTATAGTTAAAAAATTTTAAATTATTTATTATTATTTATTCAATTTATACAAACTATTATACTGTATTTTATATCCATATATTTATTTATTAATACAATTCCTGTTGCTGCATAGCGACATAATTTGAATATTATTTTTTATGATTTCCAAGCTGCAACCTATGTGTGACCATTTCAGTCTGTTGTATGAAAGTTCAATTATTTATTATAATTTATTCAATTTATACAAACTATTATATTTTATATCCATATATTTATTTATTAATACAATTCCTGTTGCTGCATAGCAACATAATTTGAATATTATTTTCTATGATTTCCCAGCTGCAACCTATATATGACCATTTCAGTCTGTTGTAGGAAAGTGCCTTGAGGTTAGATCTGCACATCCTATATTATGTCTCTGTTGTCTAATGGGTATGATACTCACCTTCATAGCGACAGGTTATAAGTTTGACTCTTGTCAGACACTCTTTTTTTTCATATAATTGAAAAATCAACATTCCTGTGGGAAACAATGGCTTGATCTCAGTAGAGGTGATATTTGTATTTCTTGTGTAGGTACACAATATCTTCTTTGATAAAAAAAAAAGCAGTACTCAATGTTCAAGTGCCTCGAGGTTATGTCAATGTGAGGCGCTATATAAATCCAGAATTATTATTATTATTAAGAGTGGATTGTAAAATGCAGCAAAAATATTAAAGACACAAAAATAAGTATATGCAAAGAGTCATCTTAATTTTGTAGATATTTTATTAATAGGAATTACATCAGTACTTAACATTTGACTGAAAACTTTCCCTTTTTAAAATTACATTGGCATTATGTTTATAATGAAAATCAAGATCAGGTTGGCTGTTGTGAGTAAAGCCTCCACAGACAATCAGTGTGTAATACAGTTTTGCCTCCAATTTGAGACCCTCCATTAGGACCTGAAAATTTGGGATGATTTCGGGTTTGGTCTCCACTTAGTGGGTAATAGATATGTGCTAATAGATTGTCATATGGTTCTTTGAAAAAGTGGTCTCAGAAATGGAGGGTGCACTGTAATAGTAATAAAAATATTATCTTTTTATTTCCTCCAAATTCACAAAATCATACGAAAAAGAAAGGGGGTGAAGGGCGGAACAAAGGAGGAAAAAGGTCCTATACATGAAGGTTTTGTCTGCCCAGACATTAGTGACATTTAAACAAATTAATACTGTACTATTTTGGGTGCAAAATATATTTTACTCAATTTTTGTGCTCTCTTTGATTTGTGTTTCAAATATTTATCATTGTTATTGTAAATATCTTTATTTATTGAAACTTCAATCAACTCGCAGCTGAATTACATACTGTATACTAGTGCATTTAAACATTACAACTTGAAAAAACAGAATAGAAAAACCTGTGAAACACATAATCAGAGCATACAAATTATGCAGTATAGTTCACAAGACATACTCCTGATGAGCAGACATAACAAATAATCATAAAGTCAATAATCATGTAGTTATCAATTTAGACCTCATTGATTATAATTCGTCAAATTTGTCAGGAGAAAGGCATCTACAGTAACTACTTCTAAAACGCTCAACTCGTACTTAGGGGAAATCATAAATTTCCGTCTGGAGGACATACTTTGACAATATTGTTTTATATTTCATAAAACATAATTAACATATACAAAATTTGTCTCTGAAACCAAATTTCATCTGTTATCCATTTTTCTACATATGATAAATAAAATCTTGGTAAGTATACAATTTTTGAAATAGTTTTTTTAGTCACTTTATAAAAGAGATTTCTATCCAATCACACGACTCGTCCTATTTACTCAATCATGCTGAAAGCCGTTCTGAGTAAACACTTTAGCATTTCATATGCAGACATTGATGACAATTAACCTATATCCAACAGTTTTGACCTATTTTCAATACAATCACCAACGGTAGTGATATGAACATCCAGGTTGGGTGACATTTATAACAACATCATCTTTACAATAAAGGCACTTCTTCACAACAGCCACCAAATAATATCATTACCTACAACTCAATCATGTTATTAAAGATATCTTTTTCATCAATAGTTAAAAATAAACGGACAATGGTGAAATCTGGGAAGCACTCCAAAATGTAATAAATTCAATGAAAAGCTCATTTAAAGGATTAAAATAAGTTTACTTTTGGCTTAATATCAAAGAAAATTTACCGAATAGGTTTTGCTGGTTTACAGACAATTTAATACCAACATCCTTAAATTGATTATTAGCCAATTTCCGGGTCTACGTAAAAAAATATAACATTGACAACAGACTGTTTGATAGGTTTGGCATTCAACATACAAATTATGTTCAGAACAAACTGCGATTGAAGAAAATTTTACTTGAATGGCTAGAAAACCCATTAGGCCCTATAAAAAATGTTATTAGTTTATCACCCTATCTGGGCAGGAAAAGTGATGAGGGAGGGAGGTTTTTTATTTTTTTTTATTTTGCTGAAGCCAAATATCACCCTTGGGTTGTTTGCTGGTGCATTGATATTCAAAGTAAAACATGATTTAGATAATGCAAACAATATCTACTAACTATTTAATAAAATAAATGAAAAAAAAAAATGTAAAAAATGTCAAAAACATTTTTTTTTTTTAACAAATTTTCTTTTTTTCCAGTACCATAAAAGACATGCGCGCGAGGGTGATAAACTAATAATTTTTTTATTGAGCCTTAAGACTAGCATTATGAAACGCCAGAATTTTACACATTGGGGTCCGGAAGGCAGGATATGAATGAATGATAATTACTGAAATAAAAAAATGCATGAAAATACTCTCGCATTCAAATTTTATATTGAAAGCAAAATGTATATGTTATATTTCTAGTTTATTAGTTCAACATATTATATTAGTATATCTTAAAAATACACCAGTGGAAAGGTTACACGAGGTCATCTCGAGTCATCTCCTAAGGTGAACAGTCGTTTTTTGAGATGTTTCACCCTATCAGATTAAATGAGCGTTGCTCTACTATGACTGCCTGGTTCTAATTGATTACTAAAGAAATCGGTGTTGTATTTTGATTTTGATTGTATTTTTACTAATCATGTCAAAAATTACACCTTTGAAATTAACCGAGGGCAGACCTTAATTCACCTTTTTATCTAAAGAGTTACTGTTTGGTATGATAAGGTCCCATCGAATTAAGTTTTAGCTTATCAGCCTAGTCAGCCTAGTCCTTCGTAAACAGACTTGGTCGACAGGCTTTTTTTCCCCCAACAAAGCATCTCTCAGTTACAATTTAACACAACATATAAAACACATTAAAAAACGCGGTTATTAAGTTCAACTACCGCTTTACTTTACAAAAAAAGCAAAAAATAAAAAAAGAAACCCGGTCAAGGTTTATGGAAAAATTGAACCTGAAAATGTTACAAATGTTATCTGCTTGATAGAATGTTATTCGAGCATAACTGACCCAATTCATCAATCAACAATCAATTCAACTCTTTCTACAATACACAAATGTCTTTACATAATCATGAAATTTTATTCCATGTTTTATGCCACCGACGGCATTGTTCGAGTGAACAATAATAACTGTGCACACTGATCCATGGTGACACACATAAATGCAAGTCCGATCTTCGTATGCTTTACAGATCTCTCAGGTACAAATTTTTTTGTTCTCTTTCAATGTTTGTGGAAGGCTTTTGATGAAGATTGGTACAAGATGATAAACAATCTGCGTTGAGTCTAACGTCTCTCCGTACGCTGTATAAATTTTCAGGTACCAAACTTTTTCTGTTTCAATGTTGGCGGAAGGTTTTCGATGAATCGCTGTAATGGGTATTCAACCATTACAAGGCTATTGTCATCGTCCAGGTAGTCCAAAAACAGCAGCGGCTGAAAAAACAACATTATCAATCATTAGTTTTTTGGTTTTTTTAAAAACCATATTTATAGAGGGTGACCCTTCCAGTGTATCTTAGAAGACATGACTGATATTCAGGTGCCCGCTTAAATAAATGAATAATGTGATGCTTTTATCAGCCAAGTCTCTTATTGAGGCCTAGGGAGTCCTGCTGTGACAGGAATTGAACCCAGGACCATGTGATTAGAAGGCAAGCATCTTAACCACTAAGTCATACAACTCCACTCCATATAAGGCCCCATAAAAATTATTAGTTTATCACCCCCTCCCTCATCATTTTTGGGGAAATTCTGATTTTTTCCCCCCATCTTTTTTCACTTGAAAAACTCAGGATTTCTTGCAAATATGTTTATTGGTACAACAAAAACATGTTTTTTGAATATAAATTTGATTCCATTCTTATAACTTTTATATATGTGTCACTAACCATTGATTTACTTGTGAACATCGGTAAAATGGGGGCGAGGTTGGCAAAAAAAAAAAAAAACCTTCCTCCCTCATCAGTTTTTATTCTTTCATAGGGTGATAAACTAATAATTTTTTATGGGGCCTAAAGTAAAGTAAGCATTGTGTTAGCTTTTAGTTGGAAATTCGAACAAAAAAAAATATTTTTCTTGCCAATATATACAAGAAAATTAGAACAACCACATCATGAACAACTTACGTCAATACACAAAACAAGACAGTACATCAACATTTTAAAATTGTATGGAAATATTCATAATCTTCTTAATTATTATTTTTAATAAAATTTAACTGAAAATGACATTATATGGAGGGAAATATAAATACTTACAAAAGCAATGCATAAATAAATACAACCCAAAAATACTTATGAAACAAGTCATTAAAAGTAACTCAAATAAGAAAACATGATAAACATTTTTCAAATTGTATGATGTATGTTGCCCATTGTGATTTACCATTAAATTAACAGACCTAAGACTACAGCCTCTTGAGGGGGTAGTAATGGTAGAAATGAGCAACTGTAAATACAATCATATTAGCTCGTGTCACATGAAAGTCCTTAAATGTTTTCATTTCATTAAATTTATTATAATGGTACCAGGGAAATTTACAATCACAGTTTGAATTTAACTTACATTAATGGAATAATAAAAGAGAAAAATGCTATTAAATTTACAAATGATCTATTAAATTTTATAATACTGTATTTTAAATAATTTATTATTTAGTATCTTAGTATAAACACCAAAATATTACAATAGTAATTTCTCTTACTCATTACATCTCAAGCTTTTCATTATACTTCTATGCCAATAAGCCAATTCGTAGTTTGAGCTGGGCATGCCTGTATCCAAGGTCAATCAATATAAATCTCTATGTTGTTTATGTACATTGACCTTGATATGGGCATGTGCAGTTCAAACTAGAAAGAGGCTGATACATCAAACAGTACCCATTCACACTCCTAGGTGGAAAGATAAAAGAAGCACCTTGCTCAAGGACACTAATATAATTCATAGCATGGGATTCGAACCAAAACTTCAAGATTGAGAATCCATACTTCAAATTTTCCCCTTAACAACTGTAGAAAGGTTATGTTATATCAATAAAAATTCTTAAATTTTACACATTAATTCAGTTCTACCAAACATTTATCATTAATTATTTACTCTAAAAGTGTTGAAAGAATTTTTTTTTTCAATAATATTATTATCATGTTTGATTAAAGTCAATACTTGTAAATGACAACATTTTTTTTTATAATGGAACGAATTGTGTATACAGTACTTAAAATTTCAGTACACTTTACGGCATGGTACTTGCGAAATTTGCGAAACTTTCTGGTTTTGCGCCAAAATGTCTAACCTTACTCAGGCACTAACAGATTAGAATAGGTTCAAACTACTACTTGTTTATGTTATTACCGACACTCCCAAAATACACATGACCCTGATGCAGAAAGTCATTCGGGGTGACCAATGTTCGCAGCGATAATCGCTGATACAATACATTTAGTGATTTATAGATGTGAAGAAATTTGAATTTTTCCCAAAAATGAGATTAGATGCAAAATAAGACCTAAAAAAATGATTTGTAGGAGTATACTTGTAGCTAAAGACATAGTATGAGAGGTCACCAATGTGACCAACTAATTCTAATTCATACAAAATATTTTTAAATATTCTAAACATAATTTTAAAAATAGAGATTGTGATATATAACTGCAAAAGTATGGATTACCAACAGACCCAATGGACCAAAAACAATGAGAATCACCAACTTGAATCAGGTAACATAACAAAATACACCATGTTTTTGCTTAATTTAAACATGATGAATATTATATGTTGATATTCAATATTCTATGTATGTCCAAACACATGTTATCTTACGATAAGCAGACTGTCGGTCTAGAGGCCATGGGAGGCACACACACTCCTAGAACAAGTTTGCACCGTACTGCCAAGAACACGTCTGTAATTTACTTTTTCGAGCGAGAAAGTGTAAGAGTGCATCATCGCTGTTACGTAATTTCTTGCCAGTGAGATAATCCTAGGCCTAATTTGGCCCATTGCCATATTTATTCAAGGGCTGAGGGGGATGTTCAAGTAACCTTTACCTATCCTTTATACTGTTTTGGGCTAAATGTAATACAGTATTTGTGCTGTGAATACAACAATGTGACATACCTAAACATGATCATGATGACATCACATCTTACATTATGACTATATAAGGCATACAACAGTTTTTGGTCAAAGAAAAAATGATAATCCAGACAGAACTTTAAGATGAAATTTAGACAAAATAAAGAACAATATAAAGTAAACGACAGCAGCACATTTGAGACTAACAATATAAAATTTATTCTCTAGTTTTCGTCCACACAGTGGACTTCATCAGGAGACAAATACGATAGGTACAACTTATAAATCGGAATCAAGCCAATTCATAATTTAAGATGAGTTTTCTTGCTAAGCATATTTGATAAATCTAGCTTATGACTGTGAAAACACTTTATTTCATGCATGCTACATACAGTGTCAGGACCATGTTAGGAATGTTTTGTGTGTTAGCTTGAGCAAAAAAATGGTACTCGGAAGAGTTGGGGATAACAAGAGATTACATCAGTTAAGCTTTGTTGTGCACATGTCAAGAAAGAATGAATTGGAAATATTGGTGCTATTTTATAGCAATAGAATTTAAACAAGAGGACACACACAGGCTGATATCAATAGCCACTTGAACATAATCACAAGAATTAAAGACATCATCCAGCAACTTGAAGCATTTTTGGATAAAAACCAACCACATACCACAAGTTGAGAATTGGATATGGCATGCTCGAATATAATATTCTGTACTGTACACTGGTTACCATGTTGAAAACGAATCATACGATTTTTAGTAAACTTAATTATCTGTAATCACTCAAGAGATGGGCATATGATGGATGGGCTCGGCACACCTTCAAAAACATTAAATGTCACTTAGGCTAACAGAACACCTATTCGCTATGTGTGGGCTTCTTTTTTCAATATAGGAGTAGACTTCTTTTTGACGGACTTACTCTTGCTACTTCAAATTCTGCTGATATGAAACGATATTACGTTGACATGTTTTATATAATTTGCAATTTAGCTACAACATAAAAACTATTCAAACAACAATAACAAACAATATCAATAAATAAATAATTTCAATTCAAATACATATAATAAATACTCTGAACTCATCTACCTTTGATGAAAATGCAGATGCATACTGTACATGATAATTTGAAACATGTGCGGACAGAAACCAATTACTGGAAGGGGGAGGGGCGGGGGAGTTCACTAGTACTGTATCATATATATTTTTATATATATATATTGATGATATTTTTACTTGACTATTTTATGATAATTTAATTTATGTTCTCATTGGCATCTGAGAGTCACTAGACAGTGATTTAGTTCTCTTTTTGGCAATCCTGTCCGGCCAACTGAGTGTTGGTTTTTTTCCTCTCTCTGTTATTTGTGTTTGTCAGTTTCAATTTTCTTTGGAACAAATAAATGAAATTCAATTAAAAAAACAAGTCTACTTCTTTTGGTAAAATATTGGCCGGTACTTCTGTACATAACATCGTCACTAAATTTCTGATTCTTTGGTTGAAATTTAAAATCTTGGTCTTGATCTAATACTGTATTCAAACATGAATTACCCTACACACGAGGTGTTGGTTACAAATAAAACAAATTGAAAACAGAAGCAGCAAAATAATTTATGTTAGTTACCAGTGGAGTTGCAAAATAGAGGCCTGATTAGTGTTGAACCATTGTATATTCACCTTTGTTATTTGAAAAAAAGCATCAGTAAGTTGAAACCAGGAAAACGGGAAGTTCAGATTTATATTACTGTATTAATGAAATTCATTAAGGGTGGAGCAAAGATTTCTGGGTTCAAACTAACCCTGTTATGTAATATAGTAAAAACAATATACAGTAGTCCCTAAGAGACACATTCCACTAAGCTGAGTCATGTGACGTATAGTGGGTATCAATTGTAAACAAGCAGCGCGAGCGACGCTCGGTAGTAGGAATACGCATGGCTTCTTTAGAGTGGTTGTGTTGTAAAGTACATAACTGATGTTGAATAATGTTGGTTGGAATGCCAGTAACCATATCAAATTGAATGGAAATTAAGATTGAGAGTTTTACCATAATGGTTTGCTAATGTTCCAAAAGATACTGGCCCCAACATAAACACTAAGGCCCCTGCATGTCTATGGCGTGTTTAGGTATGTTCAAGCGTCTTCGATCCGCAACTGTGATTTTGACACACTACGATTTCACATTGAATGCTACAATAAGTAAATAAACACTTTTTTGAACAATCATATTGCCTTTCCTTGCCAGCTATTTCTCATGTTAATGGTGGGCGAATGTTTTCAAAACCTTAACATTTCCCTTTCCTATACTTTAACACTGTTAATCGCACTGTAAATTCTCCATAGTAATACCCA